ATGAAATGTTTGTATTGTGGTGGAAATGTCTATGATAGCATCAACCTGAACAGGAAATTCATGTGGGTAACTATTTCAGTGTTAAACATGCACTTTAGAGAGGCAGGTGGAGGGAACGCAGAAGGCGCACTGCCCAGAGCAGTGGGGGATGGTGCGGTGAGCAGGCTGAATGGTGCGAGAGGCACTGACTTGTTCAGATCAGAAGCCAGTAAAACTGTATTTGGTGAAAAGCTGCAAAATTTCCAAAAGTGGTTTTGTAAGTAATCATATTGTGCTATACAGGAAGCAGGTTATTTGTAATGTAAACAAAAGAGTCTAACTTTGAGAAGAACAAGTGCCAACAATGGTTAGGGACTGTGACATAGTAATTATCAGCAACAGTTTAAAAGAAAACATAAAAAGTTGGACAATTAAGTTTGCAAACTTATCCCAGAAAAAGTGCTACAGATCTCATTACTGAATATCACTATGGTCACCAGATGGCCAAAGGGAGCAGTTTGAAGGTGACCGTACTGATATTCAGCAATGAGGCATGTAGCACTTTTTATAGGATGAGTTCATAAAATTGTCAGACCTCATGTTCAGTGACAACAATAAAAATGGTGAAGTAGAGAACTGCAAAGCTCTATTATTCCACTAAAGCTACAATTAAACTGGCAAAAACTAGCTGAATGAACTTTTTTTAACTCTTAAATCTAGTTTAAAAAGCTTACTGCACCAAGGGAGTACTTAATAAAGAGAGAAACTGGTAAACTTCAGTAGTAGAGAGATACGGCATTTTGACCCTCCTGCCCACCATCCCTCACTCTCCAGATGGACAGTGGCTAATGGGGACAGCTCCCACGCCCCTGCTGTGGTTTGTGATGTCAGAGGGGGCCATACAGATTTTGCTATCAAGGAATTTTGGTTGTGTGTTTTGACTTGCCTGGTGGCTCTCTAAGGGATTGACTCAGGGGCTTGCTTTTGTTTCTTCTGCGTAACTATCTCAAGATGGTAGCCATTGTCAAATATCAGTTAAGGCAAATGTACTTGTGGCAGCTGCCTCGGATGACGGGGCATAAAATGGAACAAGCAGCAGACAGAGCAAAAAGTCTGCTGGGAAAAGAGATACATGAGATATTAAGGTCTTTGAAAAACTCCTATGTATACTGAGGAATGTAATTGGCCATGCATATGCCCAGTCCTGGACATTTACTCAAGAAAATCTGAGGAGGCCCTAGGCTCTTACCTCTGGCTGATGTTCAGGCTCTGTGTAAATAAAAAAGGAAGGCTAAGGCAGTGTTGTAAACTGCCTGGTGAGTGTTGAAGGTGTGCCCTAATACACAAACTGAGCCCATCTATAAACACTTGGAGACATTTTCTTTTGGATACAGGTATGTAAGGAAATCATTGTCCAATCAACAGCTGACCAATGAGCTAATATAACAGAGACTTCAGAGACCATGTACAACAAAGAACACACTTTACAAATTCGTTTGGTAAAAACTAGACAAACAAAAGGAACCAAAACAAGTAGCAACAATAAACCCTGGGGAGAGGGAAGAGTCTAATTTCTAAGGGTGATGCACACAATATTTAAAATGTTCGGTTTCAACAATTAAAAGAGTTACGGGGCATGCAAAAAATAAGATGGTATATCTCACACACAGGAAAAAAAACAGGAACTGTCTTTAAGGAAATACATTTTCCAACTAGTCAAAGGCTTTAAATCAAGTATTTTACACATGCTCAATTTTTTCTTTTTGTAGAAAAAATATTTGTCCTCCCTTGCTTCTGATGAGCAATTGGTTGTTAATCTTATTTAGGATCCATTGTACTTGATGAGTCACTTCTTTTTGCTCTCAAGATTCTCCCTGTCTTGGGTTTTAAAGGTTTGATTATAATTTATCTCAGTGTTGTTCTCTATATGTTCATCTTAGTTTGGCTTCATTGAGCTTCTTGGATATATAGATTAATGTCTTTTATGAAAGTTTAGAAGTTCTCAATCATTATTTCATCAAATATTTTTTCTGTCCCTTTCTCTCTCTCTCATTTCCTTCTCGGACCTGTTGCCCATGTAGCCACGTACAAAATACTAAAGAAAACCAGAAAAATACAGTCTTACCAAATAGAGACTATCAACGCAGAGACAAAAAGGTTAAAAAGAAAGTGAGCCAGGTAGAAATTCTGGAATTGTGAAGTACACTAATTAAAATGGGAAATTTACTAGAGGGGTTCAATAACAAATTTGAACAGCCAGAAGAAAGATATAGAGAACTTGAATATATGTCAATTGAGATGATCCAATCTGAGATCCAGAAAGAAAAAAGGATGAAGTAAAATGAATAGAACTGAAGAGACTTATACAACACCATCATATCATGCATAATGGGAGGCCAGGAAGCTCAATGAACCCAATGAGGATAAACTCAGAGACCCACAACACTGTAATTAAAATAAAAATATCAAAACCAAAGAGAGAACCTTGAGCACCAAGAAGTAACTGCTCCTATATAAGGGATACTAAATAAGATGAACAGCCAATTAATTACTAATCAGAAGTCCAGAAGGCTGAAGGCAAAGGGATGTCATATTAGAGTGCTAAGATAAAAAAGAAAATAAAACAATAATTCCATATCTGGCAAAACTGTCCTTCAAAAAAGAAGGTGAAATCAATATCTATCATCAAAAACTTTTGGAGAATAATGACAACATGAAAAAACTATGCTTAGCATGGTATTGACCATTGTTTTACCTACTGGCCACAAGGACTGTTGATCACTTAAAATGAGGCTAACCCGAACTCAGTTGTGAAATGTGGTGAACTGGAATAGGAAGTGTGGTGAGGATGGGTGCAATCTGCCCTCTGCAAGTGGTGAAAATGACAAATGGCACTCCTAGTTTGGAACTTTATTAGTTTGCTAGCTCTGCCCCTTTACTTAAAAGATGTTTGCAAGTCAAGCTCCTAGGCCCAACATTGCTTCCAAATTCCACAAGTGTCTTAGTTTTATTATAGTACATAGGTCATTATGAAGTTTTGAGATACACAAAAATCGAGAAACCTAAAATTTCCACGTGGATGGAAACACCAATAAGCTGAGAAGCTGAAGTTTGCACATATGAATCAAAAAGGACCCTGTTGACTTCCTGTGTTTCTTGAACGTGAAATAATGGACTATAACATAGTCTGCCTCAAAACTTTCATAGTGACCCATGTATCAGAGGCACAAAAACAAGACATATACCAACTGAAGTTGGTATCCACGTGGCCAGGATGTTCCACATCACAGTTCTAGCCCCAGTCCCCCATTGTAGGTGACGTTACTGGAGCCCAAAACCCTGACCTTGGACATGACTTTGGCCCCTGTGCCAGAATGATTTCACCCATGACCAAGAATACCACCTCAGTAACATCCATAAACTTTCCTTTTGCTTAGGAAAAGAAAAGAGCTTTCTCAAGAAACTGACAAGTTGGAGACAGGACATTTGTTGTTTTTCTTCCTTTTTTTTTTTTAAAATTAGCAATTCTATTACATTTCCTGAGTTTACTGTTTGCTTAGTCCAAGATCCTAGTACATGTTTTGCTCTCTGCCAAAATGTATACTCCTGCCCTTCTGTGCCTAAAGGGATATCTGGCATAGAGTAGACTATCTGTGCCAGTCTAGAAATTCATGAAATTATTGTCCTTTCCAGGAAGGAACTCCAATATATGGGTTCATTCCCTCAAGCCCCTGAAGAGAGGCCCTCCAACTGCCCAGTGCCTTCTCTTACCACCACCACCCCCTTTCTACTTTGCCACCACAATCTCCTTTTCTGTGTCTCTGACCATGGCCAAAACTACCTCTTCCCCTTGGTTACAAATACCACTAACCTTTATATATACCTTACTTAACTATGTGTATCAGTTCATTCTCTCCAACAATGTAACTGTTGAATCTGCCACTTTGAAACCTGGAATATACCAAGATATCATTGTCATACACACAAGGATACAATTCATGTTTTTAACACCATGGAGATACTGTTAGGGTTCCTGGAGATTCCAGCTCTGTTCTCTTGGCTAGTGCCATGCAACAGGGAACTTGGCAATTGACTATAGGGACTCCTTGTACTCCTCCTGGTCTTTCTCCTTTTCACTTCTCTAAGAGGAGGTTTTTTTTTATGTTTTTCAGAGAAATGTATGCACAACTCGTTAAAAGTCTCTATAATTTGGGCTACTCAAATAATCAAGCTTAATACTGATGTGAAGATCAAGAAGTCCATTTTGATACAATTTTTAATTAAAAAATGCATTTAGATTCAGTTTTGAGGCCCTGACTAAAACCTCATTAGTTCTTTTTTTTGAGTACTTTAAGTCCACACCCCAACCACTTCCCCTAACTGGATTCTCACTATGCCACTATAAACTGGCTCTAATTACTCCAGAGCTATGTAACCAGAAAACTATAGTCTTACAGACAGCTATTCCCCAGAGCTTGTGAAGCTAATCAAATTAGCCAACGCACAGGTTGAGAGTTGGTTAATTGAGTTGCAGGGGATTTTTGTTTAAGTAGAACAGCACTTGAAATGCGTACTTTGGTGAGGACTTCAGCTTTGAGCTTACTGATCTCCATCATTATCATGGTGCCCGGTAAGTCAGACACTGTGACATTTTCAGTTGAAAAGTGAAACTCTCAGTTTGATGAGGATACTGTCATTTGTCCTAGCAGCAGTGATAACTGTGTACATTATTGAGCAAAACTTCAGATTATTTTATCCTAGAGGTGCACTGACTAGCTGATTAGCTGAGTCCAGGGAAATATCGGGGGTTAGGATTGGAGTGAAACTAACATTCTCTGTCTGGACAAAAATAGTGTTTTCCTTCAGTTTTGTGGCTTGTATTTTTATTGTTTCATTTGACTTATTATTTTTCAGATCTTAATGCTTATTGACATGCAACTATTTTCTTTATTCTTGTATTGGGTTTCAAGGCAGTTGCTTGTCTCCTAAAACGTCAGTTTCAGACAGCTGCCAGGGTCCTTGGTTCTTGGAGCACTCTTGGTCAAAAAATTAAAACAAGTGTTAAACAAAGTTTATTGAAAAATATAAAGATAGGTTTAAGAGTAAGAGCAAGATATAGGCTTACAGAGCAAAATACTTCAGGCATAAACAGTGAAAGTGGCCTCCACTGTCGTGATAAGGAAAAGGTAAAGAGTTTATGGCTGGGAGTTCTCTTTTATACTGTCTGCATGAGGCCTAACTAGTGGTTCAGAGGTCACCTGGGACCTTGAGTCTTACTGCATGTGAGGGCATCCCCTGAGCCTCTCTGAGAGCCCACTGGGGGGTGTGGACTGAAAGGTGTAAGTGGTGGCACCCAGAGACAAGACCTGAGCGGAGATGTTCAGGGCCACCAAGTTTATTGAAGGGGAGGGTGACCTGCCTGGGCAGTGCAAAAATGGCATCAGCACCCAGAGGCAATTAGAGATGCCTTTCTTTTATGTGGGGCCATAGAAGGTGGGCAAATTCCACAGCTTGCCCAGGAAGTTAGGTCCTTTGGTGCAAACTTCTGGGGGTGGAGCTAACTAGGTCCTTTATGTCTTTGTCTTGGGAGGAGAGGGAGGGGGAAAGGGTCACTACCCCAGTGGCTGTTGTTAGGGTCCCCAGCATGGACCACAATGCAGATTTAAGTTGAGGACATGAAAATTAGTTTTAAGGCTGTTCTAGGTCACTTTCAAGACTCTATTGTACCTGTTTTTAAGCTAGAGAGTCCTCTACACCCTTTTGCAGTTGGCATGCTAGGTTCTGATTGATAGATTGGCAGAGTGTTCCTTCTTCCTCAGGCAATCACTTGGGACAGAATTAGGGTGGGTGGGCCTTGTTTATTCCCTTTATTGATAGTGTCCTTTGCACATAAAAGTTTTGGGATTTTTTTGAGACAGAGTCTCACCCTATTGCCCCAGGCTAGAGCTCCACGGCATCAACTTAGTTCATAGCAACCTCAAAATCCTGGGCTTAAGCAATTCCTGCTTTACATTCCCCAGGAGTAGCTGGGTCTTTAGCACTTGCTATAACACCTAGATAATTTTTCTATATTTACTAGAGACAGAGTCTTGCTCTTGCTCAGGGTGGTCTAGAACTCCTAAGCTCAAGAGATCCTCCCACCTTGGCCTTCCAGAGTGCTAGGATTATGGGTATGAGGCACCATGCCTGCTCAAAGTTTTTAATTTTAATGAAGTACAATTTTCTATTTTTTCTTTTGTTTCTTATACTTTCACATATTGTATTTAAGAAGGCTTTGTCTAATCTAAAGTCATAAAGATTTACTAATCTTTTCTTTTAAGCCTATCACTAGCTTTTACATTTATATCCATGATTGATTTTTAGTTAGTCCTTACGTACGGTGTAAAAAGAGTCAGTTTCATTTCAGTTTTGGCATTCATGTGGGTATCTGGTTATTCCATTATCATTTCTTGAAAAGACTATTCTCTTCCCCTTCAATGGTCTTGATACCTTTATTAAAAATGAATAGGCCATAGATGCAAAGGTTAATATCTTGATTCTATTCCATTGATTTATATGTCCATTCTTATGTCAGTATCACAATGTTCTGATCATTGTTGTAAATTTTGTAATAAGCAAACATGAATCCTCCAACTTTGTTCTTTTTTAAAGATTATTTTGATTTTTCAAGGCCTCTTGAATTTTTGTATGAGTATTAAAAAAACCTTGTCAGTTTTTACAAAGAAACTAGTTGAAATTTTTATAAAATTTTTTGTATCTGTAGATCAGTTTGTTAAAATGTTGGCATCTTAGCAATATTAAGTTTCCTAATTCTTGAGTAATAAATGTCTTTCCATTTGTTAGGTCTTCTTTAATTAATTTTAACAATAGTTTGTATTTTCGGAGTACAAGTTTTATGTGTCTTTTCTTAATTTTTTCCTAAGTATTTTATTTTGTTTGATGCTGGCTCTGAGGTTCAGTATGGAGTCATCAGTTAAATTCTTCTTATTATTTTTTTTCCAAAGTCTCAAAAAATAAACAACTAATATTTATAAATAAAAGTAAAAGATAATTTCAAAAAACAGGTCATGTCAAATCTTCTAGACAATAGAAAAAGAAGAAATACTTCAAAATCATTCTACTTACTCTGGATACACCTGATATGAAAATTGGAGAAAATGTATTATTATAAAGGTGATAATATAATAAAATAAATTATTATAAAGTGAAACATATTTCACTTATAAATGAGGATACAATATCCTAAACAACATATTAACAGTTGAATTAAAAATGAATGTTTAAGTAATGTACTTTGGTCAAAATTAAACACAATTTATGTGAGAATTAGTCACTATTTTCTTTTCTTTTCTTTTTTTTTTTTTCTTCTTCTTTTCCTTTCCCTCACACCCTCCCTTCTTCTCTGTCTGGTCACCCCTTCCCCCATACCCCACCATGTCATTAATTGTTCTCATATCAAAGTTGAATACATAGGAGTCATACTTCTCTATTCCTGTGATGCTTCACTGAGAATAATGTGTTCCACCTCCATACAGGTTAGTACAAATGCTGCAAAATCTCCATCTTTTTTAATGGCTGAATAATATTCCACGGTATACATATACGACAGTTTACCAATCCATTCCTGGGTTGAAGGACATTTAGGCTGTTTCCACATTTTAGCGATTGTCAATTGGGCTGCAATAAACAGCCTAGTAAAAGTGTCTTTATAATAAAAGGCTTTTTTTCCCTCTGGATAGATGCCCAGTAATGGGATTGCAGGATCAAATGGGAGGTCTGGGTTGAGTTCTTTGAGGTCTCTCCATACTTCCTTCCAAAAAGGTGGTATTAGTTTGCAGTCCCATCAGCAGTGTAAAAGTGTTCCTTTCTCTCCGCATCCACTCCAGCATCTGCAGTTTTGAGATTTTGTGATGTTGGTGATTCTCACTGGGGTTAAATGATATCTCAGGGTGGTTTTAATTTGCATTTCTCTAATAATTAGGGATGATGAGCATTTTTTCATGTGTTTGCTAGCTATTGTCTGTCGTCTTTAGAGAAGATTCTATTCATCTCTCTTCCCCATTGATGTATGGGATTGTTGCGTTTTTTCCTTGTGGATTAAGTGAAGTTCTGTATAGATCCTGGTTATTAAGCTTTTGTCTGATTCAAAATATGCAAATATCCTTTGCCATTGTGTAGGTTGTCTCTTAGCTTTGGTTGTTGTCTCCTTGGCTGTATAGAAGCTTTTCAGTTTAATTAAATTCCATTTGTTTATTACTGCTGTTGTTGCTATTGCCATGGCAATCTTCTTCATAATATCATTATTCACCATATCAACAGAAGCAAAACTAAAGATTATATGAACCTCTCAATAGATGCAGAAAAAGCATTCCATAAAATGCAACATTCTTTCCTAATTAGAACCCTAAGGACTATAGGCATAGGTGGCACATTTCTTAAACTGAATGAAGCTATCTATGACAAACCCACAGCTAATATTTTACTGAATGGAGTAAAACTGAAAGCTTTTCCTCTTAGAACTGGAACCAGACAAGGTTGTCCTCTGTCACCATTACTATTCAACATAGTACTGGAAGTTCTAGCCAGTACAATTAGATAAGACAAGAAAATAAAGGGCATTGAATGGGAGCAGAGGAGGTAAAACTCTCCCTCTTTGCTGATGATATTATACTTAGATAACCCTAAAGACTCAACCACAAGGCTCTTGGAAGTCATCAAAAAATACAGTAATGTCTCAGGATATAAAATCAATGTCCACGAGTCAGTTGCCTTTGTATATACCAACAATAGCCATGATGAGAGGTTAGTTAAGAACTCAACTCTCTTCACCATAGCCCTAAAGAAAATGAAATACCTAGGAATATACCTAACAAAAGAGGTGAAGGACCTCTATAAAGAAAATTATGAAATCCTAATAAGAGAAATAGCAGAGGACATCAACAAATGGAAGAACATACCATGCTTATGGCTGGGAAGAATCAACATTGTTAAAATGTATATACTTCCCAGAGCAATCTGCTGATTCAACACCATCCCTATTAAAATACCAACATCATACTTTCAAGACTTGGAAAAAATGATTCTGCATTTTGTATGGAACCAGAAAAAAACCTGTATAACTAAGGCAGTTCTTAGCAATAAAAGCAAAGCCGGGGGTATCACCATATCAGATTTTAGGTTGTATTACAAGGCCATAGTGGTCAAGACAACATGGTACTGGCACAAAAATAGAGACATACATATTTGGAATCAAATAGAAAACCAGGAAATGAAACCAACAACTTACAGCCACTTAATCTTCGATAAACCAAACAAGAGTGTCCACTGGTGGAAAAACTCCCTATTCAATAAATGATGCTGGAAGAATTGGATATCTACATGTAAAAGACTGAAACTGGACCCACACCTTTACTCACAAAAATTGATTCAAAAATGGATAAAGGTCTTAAATTTAAGGCATGAAACAATAAAATTCCTCAAAGAAAGAATAGGTTAAACACTGGAAGATATTGGCCTGGTTTTCAAATTTCATCTTAGATTGTTCATTATAAGTACATAGGAAATTATCTTTTGTTTATTATTCTTATGTCCTGAAAATTTACTAAGCTTGCTTATTAGTTCAAATATTTT